TGTATGTATGTATGTATGTATGTATGTATGTATGTATGTATGTATGTGTGTGTGTATGTGTGTATGTGTGTATGTGTGTATGTGTGTATGTGTGTATGTGTGTATGTGTGTATGTATGTCTGTATGTCTGTATGTCTGTATGTCTGTATGTAATGTAATGTAATGTAATGTAATGTAATGTAATGTTATGTTATGTAATGTAATGTAATGTTATGTATGTATGTATGTATTTTTTTCCTCAAGTTGCTCTTGTGCCGTTGGCCTTTGGCCTCAGTTCTTCCTCGGGCTCAGAAGTAGTCGACTTCAAAGAAGGGGTCTTCGGTGCGCTGTTCTTCTTCGCCCTGCTCGTGTGAGCTCGTGGCCGTTGGTGAGAACCGGAGCTTTTTGGGCGCAGGTGGTGACATGAGCCCCTGTGCACCCTGGGTCTCTTCTGCCTGCCGTTGTGGTGGCTGGGTTCCCTGGCCGGTGCTGGTGTCTTTTGGTGCCTGGCTGTCTGCCTGACTTTGCTGGCTCTGAGTGCCAAACAGTTGCGGCAGGGTGGGTGACTTCTGGGTATTGCCCTGACAGGGTTTCTTGAGGGCCTTCGTCATGATCACCCGGTCTTCAGAATCAAGATGACTTTGGGCGCCACAGTTCAGGCACTTGATGCCTTTGCCTTTTTGCCACAAAACATGTGTGTGGTGGCCTTCGTGGGTTTTGGTGTAGCTCTCATCAATGCAGCGGCTGTGGAGGAAGGCCTGGAAGCTGCCTTCGTTAATCCTTTTGTGGATGGACAGGCTACATTTTGTGCACTTGAGGTAGCCGGTGGTCTCCTGGTATGTGTGCTCATCAGCCGCCTGAGGGTGTTGCTGCTGGACTTCCAGCAAATGCTTAATGGTGCTGGCCCGTGTGAGTTTCTGACCCACTGGCTTGTTGGGGCGTAGGTCAGGCTCTGGGGCCTCATGTGCCAGAAGGTCACAGTCTTCTTGAAGATGCCGTTCAAGGAGTTCGACTGTGAGGCCTTGGTGTACTCGGGTGTGGCAGGTGTGACATTGGTAGCCACTCCGGTGAGGGGTCCACTGGTGCTTGTTGGGCTGCCATGGGAGCTTGCATTGGTTGATGAGCCTCTTCTTGTATTGTTTGGTGTTGTGCCCTGCTCGCCTGACTGGTTTCTCATGTATGTAATGCTGGAGATCCTTGAAGATCTTCTCCAATCGGGCAGCTGCTTGTTTGTAGATCTGCAAATGGTCCTGGTCAAGTGTTTTTTGCCAGGCTTCAGCTTGTCTGTCATAGAGCGTGCTGGCTCGCTCATATGCTGCCAAGGCAGCATCACGTTGCCGTCGCCTCAAGTGAGGTTCATTTCCTGGTGCCTCTGGTGTTCGCGTGTTCTTGTGGATATAGAGCGGGGTGATGTTGTGGTAGAGGCGGGCATCAAAGCCTCGTGTGAGGTCTTCAAAGCCTTTCCGCTTTCTGGGGTTTGTCCAAGCCTCCCAAACCGAGCCCAGTTGCACCACCACATTTACCGGTGTGAGGACATGATGGGCCAGGGTGAGGAGGCCTTGAAAAAGGGCCCGGGCCTTGGTCTGGGGACCTGGTGCCATGCCCGTGATGGTGCCCTTCCTCAACAGGGTGCCCACGGAGTAGGTGTGGACACAGAGCCCGAAAATCCAAGCCTGGGATCGCTGGTCATAGGAGGACGGTGTGGCATCCAAAGTCACCGAGAGTCCTTGCCAGGGCTGCAGGGGCAGTGGTTCCAGAGTGCTCCAGCAACCATGTCCTTGGAGGGGTTGGGCGATCTGGAGGTGGTCCTGGCGTTCTCTGCGGATCCACCCGTGTGCCCAGAGGGGTTCTTCGAGTGGGTCCTGGAGCCGCTCTGTCCATTCGATGGCCAGTGGTGCATGCCCTTGGTTGTGGTGCCAAGTGCACAGCCAAACGATGTGGCAGGCACTCCGCATAATGGGCAGGTCTTGGTCTCGTCGCCTTGGCGGTAATGCAGGGCTGCTTGGTTCCAGGTCTTCAGGTGTTGGACCTGTGGTTTGGGGAGCACTTTGGCAGCTTTTTTGGCCGTGGTCCAGTCCAGCCCACTGACCAGGTTTTGGCAGTTTTTCTTGCTGGCAAATCGGCTTGTCCGCTGCTGCTGTGCTTCCTGGTGAAGTGTGTGTTCGATGGTTGCCCAGTCATCCTGCAGGTTGATGTGGGCTTCGGTCATGAAAGCCGTTTCATGGCGATGCCATTGGTAGATGGACTCGGTCGTCCATCCCCATTCTTTCAGGTAGGCTAACGTGGCCGCCATTGGTCCTTTCACCTGGTACCATGGGTGCTGTTGTGCATGGATCTGGTTTCTGAGGGTGATCCATGCCTGCTCCACGTGCTGGATGTGGTCGGGTGGCCAATGGGTAAGCAGTGTGTGGAGGGCCCGGATGTGGTGGATGATCACCTGGTCGCCGGGGTCTGCATACTATGTATGTATGTATGTATGTATGTATGTATGTATGTATGTAACTGTATGTATGTATACACATGTATATATGTGGAAGTAGAAAGGCAGGCTAATGACAGCATGAAGGACACATAATTGAACAAAACCCTCCAAACTGCAGAACAGAATATTGAAATGTGTTTTCAGTGGGATAACATAACGCATGTAAAATATATATATATATATACAGGTCCATAGCCATCCACATGCAGTGGTTTTCAAGTTGTTCCCCCTTTGTTGTACTCCAGCCACCCCGACGCATGTGAGTTCGATGAAGGAGCCACCCCGACGCGAGCGAGTTGAGCGATGTGTTCGTGTTCCGCAGGACGGACCTGGTGGACAGCGAGGGCAACACACCCTTGGTGCTCTGTGCCAAGTCCAACCACGTCGAGGCCGCTCCCAACCACGGGGGATGCCGGGATCGGACGGTTCCGGTAAGACGTGGGAGCGAACCTCGTGTGTCTCGTGGGATGGAAAGACGTGAGAGACCGATTGTTGGAAGTCGTTTGATCGTTGGCTGTGGTTCTTTTGGGTTCTCCCAGTTTTCAGGTTTTCGTTCGTTTTCATGAAGGAATTGAAGCGAACCTCGCTGAAGCAGCCAAGCGAATTCGTAGGGATTTGGGTGCTCCGTTCCCGGTCCCGGCGTCCCCCGAACCGCACCAGCAGTAAGGGGTCTAAGTCTAGGCGCCCACCAAAAGGCAGGACCCACCATGTACATCATTGTTGTTTAATGAGTCATTACGTATATAGGACCATAGGACCTCATTCCAAAACGTTGGCCCAAAGCATCAAACCAACCTTTTTTGTCAGAATTTCGGAGATGTTCATCCCGGATTCATCCCCATCATTTTGGACAGAAGATCACGCTTTGGGGGGGTTCCTTATCTTAAAACATCCATCTTCACTCTGGCCGATGGCGATGATCGGCGCTGGGAGGGCCAGTGGATCCGAAGGATGACAAGGTTGCAAGGTCCCTGGTCGAGTGAAACACCAACATGGACCTTCTTGTTCAACCAACCCAATGTGGGGGATTTGACTCTCACCCTCCCTCCCTCCCTCCCTCCCTCCCTCCATCCCTATATTCTTCCCTCCCTCCTTCAGTCCTATGGATTGCTGGGTCTTGTATTTGTTCTTGTCTTTTCGACCGTGTGACGGTTGGAACGTTGCGCGAATCTTGCATTGCTTCTTGAATCTTCTTGACGCGTTGCAATGCGTTGCATGCGCCGCTCGTCCAAACAGTGAGAGGCCATGGAGTTGCTGATGGCTCGCCAGGGCCCTCGGTCGGAAAAGAAAAAAGTGTACATGTATATTATAATTAAGTGGTTTGGTCCAGGGGGATTGTCCGGTATGGAGTATAGTTTTGAGTTTTGAGTCACCCCTTAATGCCTACAGAGTCAGCGGATAACCTTCAACCTTTTTATTGGGGGGGGGCATTGGGGAATCATATAAAATTTCTAACAGGTGGAACACTTCGGTGGACGTCCTTCCAGGGATCGACGACGTCAAAAGGTTCGGAGAGAAGAAAACCGGTAAGTCAAGGACGTAGATCTCAACTCTACGTCGGTGCACTTTTCCGGTCGATACAGCGAGCATCGATGCCTCGGATCTAACATCCATGCCTTGACCGCGGGAACCGCAGGTGTGGAGACGAATGTGCCCACGACCGACAATCCATGTATGGCAACATTGACGTGGTTGAAAAGGATCAAGGTATAGGCCAATATGGCACACATGGAGTGTTTGGGTACTGGTTGACACCAAGAATACAAGGATGGTTGTGAATGTTGCCTAACAAAATGGTTAGTCCGTCCCTTAGTTTGATGCACCCAGCAACTGAATTAAAACGATACTAGGTAGGTGGTTTAAGTCGCCTGGGCTGGACTGAAGTCGTCTCTAGAAACACTGTGCCCATGCAGTCTATGTATCAGGAATGGGTATGTGTAGAAATGTAGGATGTGCTTTGTTGTAGAAAGTAAACCAGCTGATCTTTCTTCTGATTCTCAACCAACCACGTTGTTTTACACAATTCTAACCAAACAGATCATCAACCAGTTGTCAAGTTGTATAGCTCTATAAAGACACCAGAGAGGTATATTGAGGGTTTTTTGTGCAAGCAGGCAGGGATCAAGAACTTGGTAGAGGGCTCCACAGAAGTCCCCACAAGGTCCTACTCTTGGTATTGACATCTTGGGTGCATTGATCTTCCACATCGCAATGTACCACCAAATCCATACCAGTTGCAGGAAGCAGAGCTTGGTATGGGCGTTGTTGACCCACATGTTCTTGTTTTCCACATGATTTCATGCTCTGCGCGCCGAAGTTTGGGGGGTTGGAAGAGGGTCGGAACCTTCCACACTCCACACACAGCTGTTCACGCAGCTGTTAGGGGCAGTGTGGCACCCATCATTGTGATCTCCAACACAATGTAGCGCGACGCGGCCTAGTCAGTCTCCAGGAAAAACGCCACGGGCAAGATTCGGCAGTGGGAAATATAAAACAATATAAAACAGTGAATCGATCTCAATCATGTGCTTGCAGTTTTTCCTGCCCTTCGGGCCATTTTGGGACATATAGTGAACTTGTTGTTTTTTCACCAAAAAGAGATGTCCTCAGGTCCCCCACCTTTTTTTTTCCCCACCGAGTGCCACCGAGTTTGAGATGTCTGGTCTTGGACGCCCAGGTGGTGCCAGCATCACACAAAGGACCAAGGTCCGGTTGGATGGGAGATGGGTTGGTGCTCAGATGTGGACGGGTGGGACTGGACCGACCGGTCTTTCTTCGACACGACCGGCAGAAAAAGGGGACTGGCATATGAATCCAGACAGGGGTGGTTGATTGAGGTCCTGGGGCGAAAACCAGACAGGGGTGGTTGATTGAGGTCCTGGGGCAATATGAACAGGCATATGAATCCATACAGACAGGGGTGGTTGATTCATGTCTGGGGCTTTGTCTGGGGCGGCATTCTCCAGTCCCAGACACATCGTGTTTGGGATCAGCCCCTTGTCAAGCACCCAAGTGTAATGGTTAATAATGCCCATGCCATGTAGTCGATGTAGTGTTTGATGTCGGAAGCAGGATGTTGGAATCTGTCCATCGTTTCCACTCTCTGATTGATGAGATGATTCCTGGATCGTTTGTTCACCACGGGCTGGGACATCCCCAAATCGAGACCTTTCACGATGTCAAGTCTTTTATATCGTAGTGGGTAGTGGATGGTAGTGGGTTCCTGATGCCCGTCACCCGTTTTTTCCAGTGGGAGGGGGTCAAGTTCCTTTTGACCAAACCTGAACATGACCAAACAGGACCATGCACCATGTGCACTGTACCAGCAGCCACATGACCAACCATGACCCAGAAATATCAAAAGATCCAACCTGAACCAGCGGCCACTGGTTTTGTTGGAATGATGGTCGCAGGGATTCCGACCTTCCCTGGGGAATCCGGAACCAATGGGAAGGGTTTGGGAACTGGGTCCGGACCCCTGCCATGGAGAGCCCAAGGATTCAGGGCGATTGGCACGGAATAGAAAAAAGAGGTAAAGCTACGGCCTCTGAGAAGCTGATTCGTTGAAATTTGGTCAATGATGGTAGATGTATCCCACACTCTTTGAGAGACTGAAACAAAAATGCCTTTGCACTACATGGACCCTTTTTCAACCACCCTATAGGTGTGATCCCAAGACCTGCAGAAGCAGTGCCATGCGGAACCTGTGGGGGCGCCGGTAGCCTTGATCTGCGCGGTGGAAACGGTGTCCGTGGTCTGCTCAGTGTCCGGCAGTGGGTAGACAGGAGTCTGCAAACGACAAATACAAACACATTCCCAAACACGACCTGTCTGGGACTGGCATAGGAATCAATACATTGGGGTGGTTGATAAGGGGTCGATGTAGGCATATACCAGTCCCATTAGTCGTGTTTGAGATTCAAACATCCCAAGAATATGGGAATGGGTCGTTCAACCATGTTCGCCTGACTCCACCATTTGCCAACGACCAGATCCGGTAGGTACGTCAGGGATCTTGGTGCCATGACCCACAGTTTTGCATCATGGTACGATACCCCACAGGAGCCAAGAGCTTCAATACATGGGTATTGAATCCGAATACCTAATACCCTTAGAAAGGCCCAGGGGTTGGTCAATACAGTGGTGGCATCCTTTGGGTTCCAAGATCTGACCAAACCCTCTGTTTCCTCGGCAGGAAGCCAACTTCACACCGCTCTTATGGGCAGCTGCAGGCCCGGTTCGCATCGGGTGTTAGGGCCATGGGCCATGCGACGTCTACCCCAACCGGAAGGGGAGATTGGTGGTGATTGCCAGGTGTTGAATGGTTTTGAGTTTTGATGTCCCGGTCGGGGTTGTTTTGGTTTTAGGATGTTTTAGGGGTTAAAAAACACCAGAGAACAGGGGGAGACTAGGGGGTGAAGGTCTGGGAGTCTAACACCACCAATCCCTACCCGGTCGGGGTTGGTTCGGCCTCGCCCTGAAAAGGGTATGATCGTCGAGTCACAGCCGACCATGTCGGTATTGCGCCAAGCATCGAGGGTAAAAGGCAGAGAGGTGAGGAGATATTCCCAAGATCTTTGAACAAGTCACAGGTTTACTGTAGACTCGTGTTATCTCTTGTCCTCTTACATGTTAGTTTTTTAGTCAATCAAGAGCCGGTCTACGCTCCAAAGAGCAAGAAATCCCTCCATATCCATGAGTGTTTGGAAGTCTACATCAGCGCATTAGCAGTTTCAAAGAGGAGAAGTGCAAAGCCCAACAAAAGAATACCGGTTCCATGAATGACCCCTGAGTATTGTGGACGGCCAAACGGTTTTCCCACCAGCACAAAAGAACGACAATGATCGACTTGGACATCGCAGCAGCTCGCAAGACCTGAGGAAGACCTGAGGAAGACCTTCAGATACTGCAGTGAGGAATGTTGAGACTCTTTGAGGATTTCCCGGATGTCCAGTTCATACATAGACTCCCAGTGGTACATGGTATCCTCCGCTTGAGAAGTGTGTATGGATTTTCCACCTACATGAAACATGTGTTCCCTCAGGATGTCATACCCAGACACTCCATGTATGCCATATATGCCTAAATTGACCCCCAAAACCACCCCAATGTAGGCACATATGGCACACATGGAGTGTCTGGGATAGGTATAGAACCATCCACAGTTCCAGGATTCACAGATCCCAAGGGTAAGACTTGCACGCAAAAAAAGTGTCTTCCCATTCACCAAGTCTTAGGTCAAATCTTTCAGATCCACGCTTCCCCCTTGGAACAAACCCCACAACCTCACCAGGCCACACGTGTTTCCATGGTGAAAACATGTTTTCAAAGCCTGGTTTCTTCATGTTTCTCGCTTCCATCCTGCAGTGCAGGTGGACACATCCAAGCCGCCAAGTCCTTACTGGAGGCTGTAACTCGCGTTGGTTTCACCCCGGTCTTGCGGAGTTCACGTGGTTTTTCGACGAAGGCCAGGTCGGTGGTGTTTCCGGTGTTCGGAACACGACGGTCGGTGATCCGAGCGTCCGTCCGCGTGACCTTCGATCTACCGGCCTCGGTGCCCATTCGTAGGTGATCGAAGGAAGGTTCGGATTGAGGTAGACGTAATCCCAGACGCGACCTGCTTGGGACTGCCATAGGACTGCCGATCAGGCCAGGGGTGGTGCCAGGGGGGCCCAATGGGGCGGCAGTCCTATGGCAGTCCCAAGCAGGTCGCGTCTGGGACTTCCGTCTTCCCGTTGGTTTTGTCCTCGTTCGGTCCAGGAATGTGCGTTCCTTCGTGCGAAGTCGCAGGAAAACCGTGGAAAACGGGGTGCGATCCATGGAGGTTAGGTACCAACAGAGGTTGAAGAACCCTATAGGCTATCCCATAGGTACCCTGGTAGGGTCCTATAAGGTCACTTAACCTCAACCTCTGTTGGGAGGTTAGGTGGTGCGAACGTCACATCCACAGGTTCTGGACGGGACGAGCCACACAACCCCGTCGAACGTGACTGCTGGTCTTTCAATTGCACTGATTCTGGAATCGAAGCTGGAGGTACCCACCGATGGTCATGTGTAGAGGATTTGGTTCAGGTCATGCGAGAGGGCCGGGGCTCATGCCATTCACGTTGGAGGGCCGGGGCTCATGCCATTCACGTTGGCGCAGGATTCTTGCACCCCAAGAATCTGGGCCCCGAAACCAACACAGGGTTTTGAGGGTCCGGACCCATGCGAAGGTGTCGGGCCCGACCCCTGCCATGGGCCCAAGGATTCTTGTCAAGACGGAATTGGATCTGGTCATATCTGGTCCGCCGTCGAGAAGTTGGAGCAATTGTTAGCTGGGACATGCCGGGCCTTTGGGGAGCCTTGGGGTTCAGTTCAGGTCTCACACCCTGATGAAGCCAGCAGTTGTTTGTTTTTCCTTGGGAGTCCAAGACATGCCAACACTATTCATACATTTTGGTTTGACTATAGGTGACCCGAGTCTGGGAATTTCCTTCCTTCGGTTAGCAAAAAAACTTGTTGGGGGTTATGCAAACAATCTCAAACAACTTCAAACAATATATAATAGCACGTGTGTGTTTTTCGGTGAGATTCAATCGGTTGGAGTTGGTGCTGGCAAGCAAGAAGAGGATGCAGATTCAGAGTCCCAGAAGTTGTGTTTTGCAAACTGCGGCTCCCAAGCAATATATTCAGAATGGCGGCTCGTCGTGTTCGGGGCCCTATCGCCTCGAGATCATGTTTTACTTGTGCACGGTTTCCTTGCTCGCTTCTGCTTGTATTGAGCTTTTCGGTACAAATATTGCACATGAAGCTGCACAACATGTAAGGTGCAGATTAATGAGAGGTGTAACATGGCGACCATGTTCTTGTGAATCTGTTAGCAGCTATAATGGCATTCTCAGATGTGGAGTTGGGAAAGATTCGAAAGGTTCACAGCATTTCACAGGTCATGACAAGTTCTTCAATTAAATGCAAGTTGGAGATGTTGCATTTTTTCCGCTCAACTCATGATGAGGCAGAATTGTCCAACTACTTGGCAGCCTGTCAGAAGCCACAAAAAAGACAGGATGTGGTTTGATGGAAGAACGCCGAATTTGTATGAATTGGGGCAGTTAAGTCTTTATTCCTTGGGAGTCAAAGACTATAAAAGAATGGTCTGACTAGGGGACCTGATTTTGAGAATTTCGTTTACGAAGGAACACTATGGTCCGTATAAAGGGTAACTCTACAATCCAACTCGCGTTGTTTCACTAAAAAGCGCAATTTGACTCCTTCTTGCGTGAGAGGCACGACTCAATCGAGCTTATGCCGGATGACACTGCTGGTGCTCCAAAGATTTCCCCACTCAACGTCCGATGTCCCGCCGGTCATGTGCTGTGCGGTGTCGACCTTTTCTGCGCTGGTCAGGCCTCTCGAAGGAGGTTTTTCGCGTCGAGTCGAACAACACCAGACCGAGCGGTTGAGATTCCTATCCCAGACACCTCGATTCCTATCAGCGGCAAGATGCCTTTGTTCATTGATCCCACATGAATCAACCACCCCTGTCTGGATTCATAGGCCAGTCCCAGATGGCGGCCGTGTTTGGTGTATGGATTCCTGATTCAGACTCCGAGTTTGGCCCTTCTCCACTGATCTTCGCAGGGGTTCGGACCCAGTTCTCAAACTCTATGTATCCCGGACTGTCATGTGTTGCTGAAGGGGCCTGGATTCTTGCTGAAGTGGACCATCGATGGATGTGGTTTTGCTGCAGAACCGTTGAACCATGGCTTTGCCAATTGAAACAAGTGAGCAGGACTTTTCGACGAAGGGTCGGGTTTCCGATCCAGGGGTTATGGATGGTTATGGATGGTTATGGAGGGGCCGGCCCAATCTCTGAACTATGGCTGGTGGTTAGCAGGGGGCTGAGGAGCCCAATGTGTCCATGGAGTTCCCTAATACTCCTTAGAGCCTTAGAAGTCCAGTTCGACTCTATTTAAGATCGAGTGACTGAAGTAGAGAAATTACCAAAATCGGGTCACCTAGTCACTAGTGAGGAAGACCAATTTAGGTCTCTCTGCACATCGAAAGCTTGAACGTTGGAACCGTCAATTATTGTTAATTCATGGAGCTTCGATGCGACTGTTGAACAACTAACTGACTATTGATTCCAACTAACTATTGATTGGATGGTCTGTTTCAACCCGCAGAACCATGGACCATTTCTGCTGGTTTTTCTTGAATTCCTTCTTCCTCACTTCGAACGGCCCGCGTCGTTTGGCCGTTCGCTTCGAGTTCGGCGGTCGTTCACCCGTGGGCCGGTGGGACAAGTCTTGTTTCATCACCTCGTCTGACAAGCCTGGTATGAGCGTCCTGGACACTGAGACTACGGTTCAGGTCTGGTAGGTAAGTCCTGGTACCAGCAGTCCCAAGACGGGGTGCGATCCATGGAGGTTTAGGGTGCCCAGCTACTCCACTCACTGGATGGGACTAAACACCACCCCGTCTTGTGACTCCTGGTAGGTGAGTTTCGGAAGGTCCAATCCGCTCCATGGGACTGGTAGACAGACATGCTGATTGCCGCCCCATTCACCCCCTTTCAACCACCACCCCAAGTGATCGGCATAGATGGCAGTCCCATGGAGTGTCGGGGTGAAGGCATTTCACCTTTTGGCGCTTCTTTTGGATCGGGAAGCCTTAAGACTGGCATGACTGAGCTGAGCACTGAGCTGATGACTGAGCTGGGGCTCCCAAACAGAAATCCAATCCTGAAAAAACAAGAAATACACCCGAGGCTGGTCCATTGAAAGACCATTTTTGACTACCAAAGTGTTCAGGACCTGTCCAAGTTCCTCGGGTCACCTAAAAAGACCATGATTCACATGGGATCAGACTTCCACACCACAGCTTCTTCCCACTCTTCTTTTCTTTGTCCTTCTCTGAAAGACCTTTCAAAGGGCTGTGGCACCGTAGTCACCAACCTGCCCACCAACCCCGCTCTGGGCGCGTCGCAAAAAAGCGTCGCACCCAGCTGGAACACACCTGCACCCAGGCGCGACCAACCCTCACCCGATTGGACGGCCGATTGGACGGCCGATTGGACCCCTGCGGCACTTGGCGGTGATCTCCTCGTCTCGATTGGATGAGTTCATGCAAGCAGAACTGAGCATCTTCGTGCCGCGGCGCGGTGGAAGATACGGGCATAGTGGCGGCATTTCCGGCAGACGGCGGGTTTGGGTGGAAGGAAGAAGAGGCAGGCAGCTGTTGCCAGTTTTTGCGGGTCATTTTGTAAGTCGACACTTTGTGCACCATTCATTTTGTAGTAAAAAACGCTTCAAGTACAAAATGGACTATCCTAGGTCCACCATGTAAATTTCAAGATGATCTATAAGCACTATGTGTGGGGTCAACTTGGGACAAGTTGACCCACCCTCAGCCGCCAAACTTCTTTGGCGGCAGGGTGAGGCGAGGACAAGGACTATATACTAGGAGCAAGAAGCTACCGAACCAATGTCGGCAGGTGCCACATGGACCCGGCCTCCCCACGTGGTGCCGGGTCCATGTGCCCGCAATCGGCCTGAGACGGTTGGCCGAGCGTCACCAGTATGCAAAGTCAAGTATCGAAGATTACCTGGATGAAAGTGTGCTAATCACGTGACTGCATCAACAGGCAGGCTTGTGCAGGCCCTGCCAATTGATCAGATCTACCGAATGTGGCAATGTGGCGTCATCAAACTCATTGAACTCATGTTTGCGAGCAAGTTCTGAAACGCTTGGGTCGTTTTGTGCAAAGCAGTTGGTCAGGGCGGGACAAAAGGCTGCTGCAGATCTCCTGGAAGACTTTTTCCTGTCAAAGGTAAACTGGAAGAAGTCTCGTACTTTCAGCAGGATTGTACACCGGGGCAATAGTCGTCTTTTAAGATAACTGGAGTACTGTACAGCACACTTGCCCCGGTGAATAAGTGGCTAACTACATTGCGAAGATTTGGGTTAATTGAAATTAAGAAGTCTCATACTATGAAGCATTGTCAAACTTCATATTTATTTAAATCCTATATATTAAGGGCTTTACTTAGTCTACCAGTATACAATCGATTGGATTGTTAATGTGAATGTAGTCTATATGAATCCAGGTATATATTAATAGTATCAGGATTAATAAAAAGTTCGTTAGACGTAGTATGATACAATAATATAGGTATTAAACAGGATTCTATCTACAGGTGCTTGTTGTGTATTTCAGAGATGCTCTTTACTGCGCTTCGCTTTGACTGTTCAGGTACATGGTCCGGATGTGGCCTGGAACCCCTCTTGACTGCCTAAGCTCGTGGCTCACATGTTTTGTGAGGGATGTTGACTTTGTTGCGCAGGTGCGACGATGCTTGAGCAGAAGGTTGCCTGGATACCATTGCAGCCGTTTTGCATGATGCCTTTTGTATGAATTCCAGG